ATAAAGAAGGACTGATACACTCTACAACATGGATGAATGTCAGAAACACACTGAGTTTATGTCTGAGACGTCAGACATAAAAGGCCACATCTTGCATGATTCCATTTCTATGAAACGTCCAGAACATGCAAACCCACAGGGATGCAGAACAGATCAATGGTTGCTGGGGGCTTGGGGAGTGACTGCTAATGGGGACGGAGGTTTCTTTTTTTTTTTCTTTTTAAGTATTTCCTTTTAAATATTTTATTATTCTCATTGTTATTTTCATTTTTCAGCTGTGCCAAGCAGCATATGGGATCCTAGTTTCCTGACCAAGGACTGAACCCATGCCCCCTGCATTGGAAGTGTGGAGTCCCAACCACTGGAAAGCCAGCGAAGTCCCAGGGACGGGGTTTCTCTCTGGGCTGATGAAAACGTTCTAAAGTCGCCAGGTGATGGTTATACAACTCTGTGTATACACTAAGAATCCCTGGATGGTACAGCTTCAATGACTGGTCAGAATGTATTGGGAATGATATCTCAATAAAGTTGCTACAAAAACAAGCAAAGGACCAGCCCACTGACCATCACAAATCTTCCCAAGCTCCTCCCTCAGGAGCCAGTTTCATCTCTCCTCTCTCTCAACATGCCAGCTTCAACCTTGCCAAGCCCGTCTCACCTCGGGGTCTCTGCACCTGCCTCCCTCACAAGGGACAACCCTCCCTGGCAGGAGGGGCTCTGTCTCACTGTCCAAGCATCAGCCTCCCACCCTAGCCATTCCTAGCACATGGATTTGCTTCTCTCTGAGAGCATCTGCCTTGTTTATTTGGAGCAATTCTCTCCTGTCCCATGCTAAAACCATGCTGCCTCTCCAAGAACACGGTCCTCACATGCCTCAATATGCTGCTGGCTCCACTGTGGTGCTGGGGAAGACTCTTGAGAGTCCCGTGGACAGCAAGGAGATCATACCAGTCAATCCTAAGAGAAATCAACCCTGAATATTCACTGGAAGGACTGATGTTGAAGCTGAAACTCCTATATTTTGGCCAAGTGATACAAAGAGTTGACTCACTGGAAAAGACCCCGATGCTGAGAAAGACTGAAAGCAGGAAGAGAAGGGGGCGACAGAGGATAAGATGGTTGGATGGCATCACCGACTCAATGGACACGAGTGAAGATAGTGGAGACAGTGAAGGACAAGGAAGCCTGGTGTGCTGCAGTCCTTGGGGTCACAGAGAGTTGGACATGACTGAGCTACTGAACTGCAACCACCCTAGTACCTAACACTATCTCTGGGACATGCTCGGCAAATAAAAATGTCATTTTGAGGAGTAAGCACAGATCAGGATTCTGGGGCCCAGAGAGGTTAGGAAACCCACCCCAAGTCACACAGCAGAGTGTCACAGCCCTCCCGGCACATCGGGCTGCCCAAGTCCAAAGATGAGAAAGGAAGGTTCATGCACTCACCCGTCTACCCTGCTACTCACAAGCAGACATCACACCCCATCCCCCAACCCGACCTAGCCGTTGGGGTCCCTGCCCCTAAGTAACGTGACAGCACAGATGAATGCCTCAGGAGGAGGCTCGGTGGGCACACCCATCACCACGGAAGACTGAGCAGACACACGTGAACACAAGGGGCACCACTTGCGCCAGGAGCGGACGAGCTAACCGCAGGAACTCCACGAGAAGAGGAGGTACCAACTGCGCCACGCCCCAGCCGCTTGCAGGTGCACGCAAACCCTGGCGCTGATCGCAGGTGCGGCCACGGAGGGTGGGCGGGAGGAGACCTGCACCAAGCAGGCTTGCTCACCTGCGCCACGCGCTGCAGCTGTACCCCACACCACAGGCAGTCACGGGAACGCGTGCAGAATGCGCTCGCCCAGCCCGGTCGCAGGTGCAGGCAAAGGCCCACCCACAGTGGGCACCCGGTTTTGAACTATCTGCCCAGGTACAAAGCTCGCAGCCCCCTGCCCACACAGCATTTCCTCCAAACCAAAGGCTTCTCGGCCTTGGCACTGCTGACAGCTGGGGCCAGATCACCGTCTGTGCGTTGTGGGGTGCAGAGCGGCAACCCTGCTCTCTACATACTAGATGCCGGTAGCAGCTCTTCACCCAGGGACAACCAGCAATGTCGCTGCCCAGCGTCCCCTAGGACAGAACTACCCCCCAGAGAGCGCCGCTCTGTAACAATCTAGCATAAGCTCACCTCTGCCCAGGGCCCAAGCCCACCCCACCGCCCCAACTTTCAGTGTAAAGGAAGGCAACAGAGATGGGAAATGGTTACCGGGGGTCAAGGGAACTGCTGTTTGCAAACCTTAAAAAAGCTTTTCTAGGGACTTCCCGGATGGTCCAGGGGTTAAGAATTCATCTTCCAATACAGGGGCTGCGAGTTCAATTCCTGGTCAGAGAACTAAGACCCCACGTGCCATGTGGCAACTAAGTCCACACACCACAAGTAGAGAGCCCTCAGGCCCCAACGAACCCCCAGCGCAGCAACAATAAATAAACTTATAGTTTAGAATCTCTAAGCCCATCAACCAATAAATGGATAAAGAAATGTGGTCCATCCACACCCAGGAATATTACTCAGCCATAAAAAAGAAACAGGAGGATATGGCAACCCACTCCAGTATTCTTGCCTAGAGAATCCCATGGACACAGGAGCCTGGCGGGCTATGGTCCACAGGGTGGCAAAGAGTCAGTCACAACTGAAATGACTTAGCACATAAAAAAGAAAGAAGTTTCCTGATACATGCTAAAATCCGGATGAACCTCGAAAACACTACCCTGAGTGCAAGAAAGGAGACACAAAAGGCCACATCTTGTATGACTCCATTTATATGAAACGTCCAAAACAGGTAAATCCACAAAAACAGAAAAGCTGGTGGTTGCCAGGGGGCTGGGGGAGCAGCAAGTGAAAAGTGATTGCTAATGGGTGAGGAGCTTCTTATGGGAGTGATGACAATGTTCTGGAATTAGACAGCGGTGATGATGGCACAACTCTGTAAATATACTAAAAACCACTGAACTATACACTTTGAATAAGTGAATTATATGGTATACAAACTATATCTTTAAAAAGCTGTCATTTCAAAGAAATGTTTCCAACAACAATAATTCATTTCCAACCTTAAAGCTGAAACCAGACCTGCAATCATGAAGACTGCCACAAATCAGTGTGACCCCTTCTTCCTGTCACACCACATACACTAGACACCTACTGCATGCTAGGACATGCTTCATGCTGGAGACAAGGTGAAGTGGACGCTCGTGTCCTTAGAAATCTTGACATATGAAGGACATTCAGGTTGCACACTGTCATTCATTCATTCACCAGTCACATCCTGGAGCAGGGACAGGCAGGACCTGCCCGACAATGAGCACCCAGTTGATATGTGCTGAACAAATGCATGGAAATGAAGATACACATTCAAGTCTTAAGGTCATGATCTCAGAGAGAAACAACCAAGTTATTAAAAAATAACATCACCCCAAAATCCCACCCGAAGAATCAGAGACTGAGGCTCACATCACAAAGGTACAGTGGGTCTACCTAGGAGAGTCAAATGTTAGTTGCTCAGCCAGGTGCAACTCTTTCTAACCCCATGGACTGTAGCCTGCCAGGCTCCTCAGTCCATGAGATTCTCCAGGCAAGAATACTGGAGTGGACAGCCATTCCCTTCAGGGGATCTTCCCAATCCAGGAATCAAACCCAGGTCTCCTGTATTGCAGGTGGATTCTTTACCATCTGAACCACGAAGGAAGCCCAAGGACAGTCAACTCAGATGCCAAATCCAGAAACCAGCGAAGCAGGTGTCTGCAGCTCCCACTCAACCCCTCCCCAAGGCCTCAGGGTGCAGCATGGAGGTCCCACCCCTCCGCAGGATCAAAGCAGAGATTTACTGCCACCTGTGCAAAGCACGCTCCCCTCCCTCAACCACAAGGAAGGGCTTGCAAGACACATTCCACAAAGGAGGACACCGAGACCCAAGGAGTCTGGCACTTCATGGCGGTCGCCAGAGAGCTGGGGCCCAGAGGACAGCCAGGTCCCCAAACCCAGCCATGACCAAGCCCCTGCTCCGGGCCTACAGCCAAGTGAGGTTGGCAGGTCATCTGGCCTGCCCCTGCACACCAAGTGCACCCAGCCATCTGAGGAAGAACTGTCCCTCCACTCTCGTCCTGAGGGGCCAGGGGCCATCTGAGGCCAGCCGTCCCGTGTCCTTGTGGGAGGAACAACACCTGGTCCCCACCATATGGGCTACATGGGGAAGGGGCAGCTGTCGCCACTCCAAGCTCCAAGACTGAGCCCAATCTGCCTTCCTGACCCCACTCAGGTCCCCACAAGGGAGGCGCCAGACCTTCCCCTCAGATATCCAAAAGCGAGAAACACCTATCCCACCTCAGGTCTGCAAGTAGGGGCACCTGTCCTTCCCCCAGCACTCAGGGAGTAAGTGCACAGATGACAGTGATGTAAAGACACCTGTCCTTTCAGGTAGCAAGGGTGAGGGGGCAGCTGTCCCCTTCAGGTACCAATGATATAGGAGCACCTATCCCACCTTCCCAGGCAACAGTGATGCTCACAAGCAGCACCCGGTTCAAGCACCTCAGTATCACTCCCCTAGGGAGCAGTGATGTAAAAGCACCTATCAGGTAGCAATGTGGGGACACCTTCCCCCCCGCAGGTAACAACGATGTAGTGGCACCTGTTCCCTCCAGCTAGCAATGATGCGGAGGCGCCTGCTCACACAGGTAACCGTGATGTAGTGACACCTGTCCCCCACTTCAGGTAGCAGTGATGCAGACACCTGTACCCCTTCAGGTATCGGTGATGTGGGGGCACCTGTCCCCGCCCACGACGCCCGGGGCGTGGGGACACCCGTCTCCTCTGGCCGGGCCAAGCCCCGCCCCCGCCGCGCGCCCCGCCCCCGCCGCGCGCCCCCCGCCCCGTGCACGCGCGGGACACGCGCCCCCTCCCTCCCTCTCCGGCCCAGAGGGGTCGGCGAGGGAAGCCCCCTTACCCGCGCGGCCCGCGTCAGGCTCAGGTCCTTCATGACCTCCTCGAAAGCCGCCGTCTCCTCCGCTTGCTTCTGGTTGTGCAGCGCGATCTTCTCGCTGAATTTCCGCGGATTGTTCGAAGTCGCCATCTTCTCGCCGCCGCCTCCTCCTCCTCCTCCTCCTCCTCCACCTCCTCGCCCCCCCACTCCCCTGTGCCACCACGCAAGCGCCGACCAGACCCGCGGGCGGCGGGCAGTGCGCAGGCGCGTCGGCGGGCGTGAGAGCGGCGCGTGCGCACAGGTGAGGCGCGCGACGCGGGGGCGATGGCGCATGCGCGCGCTTCGGCGGCAAACTCAGAGGCCAGATTTGGGGGGGCGGGGGGGAGGGCTTCGGCGCAGGCGCAGTGAGCCGTCTCCTGGCCCGCTGGACAGCGGCTGTCTGGCTGTTGGCCACGGTCCGGGAGCGGACTGGGGCACTGGAGCCCCCAAGAGAGTGACTCCTCGAGGCCGATCTTTCCAGGTCACCAGGTTGGAACAAGCACCTACTGCAAGGACAGGTAGCTCTCGAGGCTGAGCCTCGGCTCGGACCAGTTCAGCTCAGACACCAGTTCAGGGCTTTCCTCATCCATTTATTGAACGCCTATGTATGCCAAGCATATTGGGGAAACGGCATGAGCAAGAAGACGTGGTCCCTGCCCTCATAGTGTGCACAGTCGAGGAGAGGGGAATAAAACCCACCAATAAATGACCCAAAAACTTTTCAGATGGAGAGACATGTGATGTGGAAAATAAAGCCAGTAATGGGTAAAGAGGAGAGTGGGCTTCCCTTGTGGCTCAGCTGGTAAAGAATCCGCCTGCAAAGCGGGAGACCTGGGTTCGATCCCTGGAATGGGAAGATGCCTTGGAGAAAGGAAAGGCTACCCACTCCAGTATTCTGGCCTAGAGAATTCCCTGGACTATACAGTCCATGGAGTACAAAGATATGGACACTTCTGAGCCACTTTCAGTTAGAGGAGAACTATGTTAGGAAAGGAGGCTCCTGTGGCCACCATGGTTTCGGGGGTGTGATCAGTACCCAGCCCAAAATCCCAATGTCATCCTTAACACCTTTCTTTCCCCATTCCTATTCCCTCTCCAGTTCCTATTCTCTGTATCCTTAAGCTCGGAAAACTGGAACTACAGAGCTTCAGCCTTCTCTCTGTGAATTTCTCCAGTCCAGTTTTACTCAAGAACGTCCAGCTTTTTCACCGGGTACTAAAGGACAGGTCCAGAAACCCCACCCAGACCCAGCAGTGAAAGGGAGAGTAGAGTCTCCCCGATGACCTGGGGGTGGGGAGAAACCTAGGGAGGGGGGGACTCTGACATCTAGTTGTTCCTACCCAAGCAGAGGGACCAAAACCACCAATATCGAAAGTTTATGTTCAGGAGGCTCTAGGGATTTCAGGGTATGGGCAGGGCAGAAATCAGGAGAGGCAGCCAGGGGAATTTGGGGTACCTGTAATTTCATAACAAGCACACTTTTTACCAGGGCGAGGGATGGCTGGAGGGGACACTGATGGAAATCACAGGGGGACACCAGCGTTTTCCAAACATGCTTTTATTTACATCTGGTAACAGTTTAATGAAATGTCCACATTAAATACTTACACATACACATTTTAATTTGGAATGTTCTGGGAACTGCCATTTCACACTGTTAATGGGGTTCTCAAGGCAAAAATACCGAAGTGGTTTGCCGTTCCCTTCTCCAGTGGACCACATTTTGTCAGAAACTCTCCACCATGACCCATCCGTCTTGGGTGGCCCTACACGGCATGGCTCATAGTTTCATTGAGTTAGACAAGGCTGTGGTCCATGTGATCAGTTTGATTAGTTTTCTGTGACTGTGATTTTCATTCTGTCTGCCCTCTGACAAGGATAAGAAGCTTATGGAAGCTTCCTGATGGGAGAGACTGAATGTGGGGGTCGAAACTAGGTCTTTTTCTGTTGGGTGGGGCCATGCTCAGTAAATCTTTAATCCAATTTTCTTTTGAAAACGGGGCTATGTTCCTTCCCTGTTGTTTGACCTGAGACCAAACTATGGTGGAGATAATGAAGATAATGGCGACCTCCTTCAGAAGGTCCCGTGCATGCTCTGCCACACTCAGTGCCCCTGACCCTGCAGCAGGCCACTGCCAACCCACGCCTCCATTAGAGACTCCTGGACGCTCACAGGCAAGCCTGGGTCAGTCTCTTATGGGGTCACTGCTCCTTTCTCCTGGGTCCTGGTGCACACAAGGTTTTATTTGTGCCCTCCAAGAGTCTGTTTCCCTAGGCCTACATAAATTCTGTGGTCAAATCCCACTGACCTCCAAAGTCAAATTCTCTGGGAGTTCTCAGTCCTTTTGCCAGATCCCCAGGTTGGGAAATATGTTGTGGGTCCTAGAACTTTCTTAACAGTGCAAGAATTTCTTTGGTATAATTGTTCTGCAGTTTGTGGGTCGTCTGCTTGGTGGCTCTATGGTGGGGTTAATGGCGACCTCCTCCAAGAGGGCTTGTGCCACACACTGTGTGACCAGGTCTGCTGCACCCAGAGCCCCTGCCCCTGCGGCAGGCCACTGCTGACCTGTAATTCCACAGAAGACTCAAACATAGGTCTGGCTTGGTCTCTGTGGGGTCTCTGGGACCTGGTGCTCACAAGGTTTTGTTTGAGCCCTCTGAGCTTCTCTGGTGGGTATGGGGTTTGAGTCTAAACACAACTTCGCCCCTCCTACCATCTTGCTGGGGCTTCTCCTTTGCTCTTGGACATAGGGTATCTTTTTTTGGTGGAATCCAACATTCTCCTCTCAGTGGTTGTTCAACAGCGAGTTGTGATTTTGGAATTCTAGCAGGAGGAAATGAGCACATCCTTCTAAGAATTGATGCTTTTGAACTGTGGTGTTAGAGAAGACTCTTGAGAGTCCTTTGGACTGCAAGGAGATCCAACCATTCCATCCTAAAGGAAATCAATCCTGAATAGTCATTGGAAGGACTGATGCTGAAGCTGAAACTCCAATACTTTCCCCCCCTGATGCAAAGAACTGACTCCTTGGAAAAGACCCTAATGCTGGGAAAGCTTGAAGGCAGGAGGAGAAGGGGATGACAGAGGATGAGAGGGTTGGATGGCATCAACAACTCAATGGACATAAGTTTGAGCAAGTTCCAAGAGTTGGTGATGGACAAGGAAGCCTGGCGTGCTGCAGTCCACAGGGTCACAAAGAGCTGGACACAACTGAGCAACTGAACTGAACTGGGGACTGCCACTGCTCTGTTTTTAATATTTATTTTTATTTATTTGACTGCACCAGGGCTTCTTTGCAGCATGTAGGATCTAGTTCTCTGACCAAGGATCAAACCCAGGCCGCCTGCATTGGAAGCTCAATGTCTTATCCAGTGGACCACCAGGCAAGTCCCCACTGCTCTTTTTATCCTTCTTGTTCATATTGTCTTTAGCACTTTCTTGGACTTCTGGCCTTTTTGCCTACCAAGTATCTGCCCCCTGTCTGGGGTATTGACAACCAACTGCCCTTCATTTCCTAACTTTCAGTCCCTGATTTGTCGTAGAGTTGGTCTCATGGCTCACTCTCCCTACAAAGTCTCCCCCTAAAATTGAAAGCCTGGGCCCATCATAAGAGCCACTGCTCTGACCATTATGATTGGATGAGGGTAGGCGCGTGACCCAGTTTGCCCAATGAGATACAAGTCTGGAATTTTTGTTTGAAGCATGGGAAAGAGAAGCACTGTCTTTGCTTGGGTAGCTGATCTGAAGCATAACACAGACCTCTGGGCTTTCATGGTGTCTCAGACGGTAAAGAATCCGCCTGCAATGCAGGAGACCTGGGTTCGATCCCTGGGTTGGGAAGATCCCCTGGAGGAGGGAAAGGCTACCCACTCCAGTATCCTGGCCTGGATAAGTCCATGGACTGTATAGTCCACAGGGTTGCAAGCAGTCGGAGACAGCTGAGTGATTTTCACTTTCACTGCACTTGAAGAGAGGAGGCCTGGGGATTTCCCTGGTGGTCTAGTGGTTAGGATGCATGCTCTCACTGTCACAGCCTGGGTTCAAGCCCTGGTTAGGGAACTGTCCTGCAAGCAGCACACCGCAAGTACAGACAAAAGAAAAAAAGAGAGAGGGAGGGAGGGAGGGGCTTCCCTGGTGGCTCAGTGGTAAAGAATCTGCCAGCCAGTGCAGGAGACACAGGTTCGATCCCTGGCCCTGGAAGATGCCACGTGCCACAGAGCCACTAAGCTCATGCACCGCAACTATTGAGCCTGTGCTCTAGAGCCAGGGCTCCGCAACCAAAGAAGGCGTTACAGAGAAGCCTGCACACTGCCACAGAGTATCCCCCACTCACCGAAACTAGAGGAAAGGCCTGCAGAGCAGTGAAGACCCATCACAGCCAAAGGTAAACAAATAAATTAAACAGAAAGAGGGAGGTGACCGGACAGTGAACCCACACGAAAGCAAACAGGACCAGAGGTAGCGATACTGTCTGAATTCCTGCATCTGGCCATTCCTGAAGCTGGATGCTCCTGCCTTTTCAGGTATATGAACCAATAATTCTTTCTCCCTCTTTTTTTTTTTTTTTAAAGGCTGCACTGGGTCTTCATGTTGAGCCCAGATTCTTTTTTTTTTTAATCTTTTTTTTTCCATTTATTTTTATTAGTTGGAGGCTAATTACTTTACAATATTGTAGTGGTTTTTGCCATACATTGACATGACTCAGCCATGGATTTACATGTATTCCCCATCCCGATCCCCCCTCCTACCTCCCTGAGCCCAGATTCTTTATTGCGGTGCACAGTCTCCAAAGCCTGCAGGCTCAGTAGTTGTGACATAAGGGTTCATTTGCTCCATAGCATGTGGGATCTTAGTTCCCTGGCCAGGGATGGAAACCCAGTCCCCTGAATTGGGAGGTGGATTCTTAACCACTGAGCCATCAGGGAAGTCCCCATTCGCTTTTATACTGAAGTCGATTTAAAATCCATCTCCTCTCCATAGCACTGAGACTGGAGCTTCTGGGAGTCCGATAAGGGGCTGGGCATTCTATTTATGTGACTTCTAGTTCCTGCCACCGTCTTGTGAGATTGGAGAGGAAATAGTGACAGAGCAGGGACAGCAGCTGCCCATA